TGTCACTTTGCCTTACTCTTAAATCAATAATAATGACTATATTAGTGATAGCATGAAATCAAATTCTTGAATTTTGAGCATATAAATAAATTTATTTATATGTTAGATTGGTTATAATGAGTCTTTTGATTGTTTATTGATATCATTTTCTTTTTGCAAGTATTATTCTTGTTTAATACAATCTGCTAGAACTATTAAAACTTCATTATGAACGCTAAAAGAGTTTGAGAGTTCTCTGGCAGAAACTATTTGAGGAGTTTTTTCCATCTATATGTTGTTTTTGTTCGGTTGAACCTATCCAGGTATATTCGGTTTGACTCTCCCTGCATTTGCACTAATCGGTATAAGTCACTAGAGTGTTTTTTCATGGTAGTACTAGCTAAATTCTTATAAGCGCGCGAAACATATTAGACTATTTTTTTAAAGTATTAAAAGTAGTGTATAAAAACATTATAAGTAGGGTCTAAAAATATTTGTAGTAGTGGTAAGCGTAGGAGTATAGAGTATTCAAGTTCGCGTAAGATTGTAGTCATGAGCTACGGTAATAAACGGGTCATATACTCCTTACCTGGCCTTATGACTGGCGTCCCCCGTACCGGGACGGAGACGGAGACGCATAGGGGACGGCCCCGGGATGCCGAGGACATCGGGCGCGCTCGAAGCCCCCCGAGGGAACTAATGAGCAACGACGTACAATAAGTTGTGTCTGCCTCGTCGTCATTGCAATCTTCTGGACATTCTTTCGAATGGCGGCCGTACTGTAATAAGCATGTTGAGAATCTGCCTGTGCCAATCTTTTATAAGGAAAGTGAGGAGATAATTGTGGTGGGGGAAGGTTTGGGTGATGATATGAAATCGATGGTTCGATATGATATCAAAACTAATCTGTTTTGACTGGTTTCAGAATCCCTCTTACACATAAATCTCTGTTTATGCATGCATGTAAACAATGATGAAGAATTTCTTTTTTTTTTTTTAATCGATGGTTCGATATGATATCTAAATTAATCTGTTTTGACTGGTTTCATGATCCCTCTTACACATAAATCTCCGTTTATAAGTGCTTGTAAACAGTGATGGATTATTTCTTTTTTTTAATGAGTCAATTTAATTATTGGATTATATATGAACAGAAGACGTTTTTGTCGCTGAATCCTTTCGGGTGTTTGGGCTACTTGAGGCATCAGAAAGAGAAAGGCAGTTATCATCACCCAAACCTTCCCCCACCACAACTGTCTCCTCACTCTCCTTATGAAAGATTAACATATGCAGATTCTCAACATGCTTACAGTACGGCCGCCATTCGAAAGAATGTCCAGAAGATTGCAACAAAGGCCTCACATTACCAATCTCTTTCTCATTCACATTATGTCATCTTGCCAACCTTGGCTCCCCAAAACTAACGGAGTTCGGCTTCGGCCTGAACTCCGGAAACCTCTCCCAAGCCCAAACCTGAACCAATTGCAAAGGCGCCCAAAGTGTAATCACAACAAGATCATCAAACCCATCACCATTCTCACCACAACAACCACTCATGTTAACCACCCCAGACTTCAAATTATTTTTACTTAATGTCAAATCGTTTGTAGTAAATACGATATGGACTAATACCTGGCAAATAGGGTAAAATCGATGGATCGGGTCAATAGCAGGTCGGTCAATATTATTAATGGAATTTTGGTGCGGACGCAGAAGACACAAGCAACAACAAGCCAGCTGAAAGTGGTTAATCTCCACGTACACCTGCACCACTTTCTCCACCTTCACACATCTTCTTTCCATCTTCCTCTTTTCTTCCTTCATCATCTGTAAACGAAAATCAACTCATGTCAGACGGCGGTACTTGGTGACCTCTACTCGGTGAGCGCAGGTATTGATTTGTGTGTGGGAGGGAGTCAGATCTGAGCAGAAACATTAAATAATGAGTAAAACATAGATTTGTGTGTACGGGGGAAGTTCCCTGAAAGGTGACTGAGGGCGACCGTCGGACGGTGGGACTCGGTGAGCCCTTTTGGGTTAGCGCGGGTACTCGTTGAAAGATGGTGACTCAGATGGGATTGAGCCCTTTTGGGTTAGCGCGGGTACTCGTTGAAAGATAGTGACTCGGATAGGGCAAATATCGGATGGTGGTACTTGGTGAGCCCTTTCGGAAAGGGTGATGGAGGGAAAACGTCGGACGACTGTTCTTGTCGGGCAAATGTCAGACGGCGGTACTTGGTGACCCCTACTGGGTGAGCGCGGGTATTGGTTGAAAGACACACTACTACATAAAAAATGCTAAGGCAACGCTCTATGGCAACGGTTTGCTCTATGGCAACGGGTTTTGGCAACGGTTAGGTCTATGACAACGGTTAGGTCTTTGGCAACAGGTTTTGGCAACGGTTAGGTCTATGGCAACGGTTTTTGGCATCGGTTCGAATAAAAGTTGAGTTTTTAACGTCAAATATATCATTTTGGTAAACCATGAAAAAAAATCTAAAATTCAATAGGGTGCAAGTAACTACAAATACGTATTTTATTAGTACGAAATAATTAAGCAAAAGAAATAATAAAATAATAAGTACCAATAATCAAATATTATATAGTACTTCATAAACCATTAGTTCGTCATCAGTAATTCAAATATTGAACGTTCATAATCAAAAACTCAACTAAAATAAAAAATTCAAGTATTCAACCCAATTATAAATTAAAATCATATTGACAATAAATTTACAATAAAGACACAAATATTAGCAGCATAACAAGGTGCAGTACAGCGCCATCCTCAACCGGCTTCATCAATAACGTTGTTGGCGTCCTAGGCAAAACAAGGTGTAGTGTTATGGATATGAATATTATAAAAAAAAATGAGGAAATCAAAATAGAACATTACAGGGGGGTGTAGGTATATTACCCTTAATCATGTTACCTCAAAATAAATTAGTATCTATGTTCATCTATATTACCCTTATTCGGCGTCGGCGTCAAAGGCAAAACAAGGTGCAGTGTTATGGATATGAATAATATTAAAAAAAAAAATGAGGAAATGGAAACTTTAACTAACTGAGCTATGCCCACACTCTCATCATCAGGTGATTCTATTATAATTGTTGATGAAACACAAACTCACATTGGATTTCACCTTACAAGTTAGTGTTCAATCAATCCCCCAAAGAATTCCAATAAAACGAACTTCAAACTATAATCATATTCCAAGAGATCAAGTATAAATCACAGCATATCATTGTCATTGCAAAGCTACTAATATGTAGAGCACTTTAGCAACCTATTCTCAAACATAGGTCATATGAACTTGAATAAAGCCCAATTACTCATCATGCCAAACTAAAGTTCCATCGAATTCAACCCACACAAAAATTTATCAACACATTATTAAAATGCATATATCACTGCAGCAGGGAGAGTTAAAAATTCAAGTTCGATTTCACCTTAAATGAACTTAATGAGTTAACTTCAACAATAACTATAATCATAATCATAATCCAAAGCAGAAAAGTAGATTGCATTAAAACAAACTACTGCACTGAAAATTGTTGATTGTATTCCCTCATCATCAGGTGATTCTATTATAATTGTTGATGAAACACAATTATAAGTTATTGAGGAAAAGGGAGTAAGAAAAACCAGCACACCCTCATCATCAGATGACAATGTTATGGTACAAAACATATTGCTTTCGGATTATTTTGGAAGGCAATGCAATTGCTAGAAAATTCACAATTACCTGATAATTGGAAGCTGACTTAGAAATATATGCTTTATCTGTGGCTTTAACCTTTATATGGGGCTTAGTGTATATTAAATTCATGCAAAAACCAATAAAAATAACTTGTTTTTTCTCTATATGTCCTGTTGGAAATGTAAATGGTATTTTGAGTTTTGGTTTTCGCTTGTCATTTAGAATTGCTACGGGATTCGGCAAACCACGCATCCTTATTCCCCTTGCTTCAGGTTGAGGAGTGTCCTGACGGGGGCTCTCCTGATGGGGGATGTCATGGATTTGAGGGATTACATCAGGGGTTTGATTGATTACGGGAGTGAAGTCATGAGGAGGGGTTGGAGTGATTAAAGGAGTGGAGTCACGAGGAGGGGTTGGAGTGATTACAAGAGTGGAGTTGTGAGGAGGGGTTTGAGAAATTACAGGAGTGGAGTCATGAGGAGGGGTTTCAGTGATTACAAAAGTGTTGTCATTCGCATCGATGGTATCCGAAGTGGAGGCGTAGTGGTCATTTGTGGCTCCTGAATCAATGTTACGCAAAGTGGAGGCGTGGTCGTCATTTGTGGCTCCTGTGGATGTTGGAACCCTAAAAATTTGCGCCAATCGCCTATCCATCTCGCCCCACAGATGCAACTCCCTCTCATAGTGCTTCTTGAAATTAATCACATTTGGGCCTTTATTTCTCTTCACCTTTAAAGTGCAAGTAATAGTAAGAATAGTAGCAATAAGGTGCAAGTCGAATGAATAAACAAAGTAAAAAACATGAAAAGCAGGGTAACAAATAAATTAGAACAGGGTAATATCATGATGCAAAAAATATTGGTGATACTAAAAAATACACAAGAACAGAAGAAGCAGAATAAGTGTAGAGCAATATCTTGCATAACTAGGGAGGGACAACACACAGATACTAGATACTAGTAGGAGGGAAAGTGGAGAGGGGGACACATAAGAGGTAATAGCATAGATGACGCAATACAACGAGTTAAGAGTAGCTGAAAACTGATTAAAATGAATCATGAAAAGACTAGAAGTAGGGAGAAATACTAATGTGGACAGATGTGAGAATTTCTTCACCTTTATACGCTTGAGCTCATAAAATGTATCATAAAATGTATATCAATAATAATAAAATGTATCATAAAGGTGATATATGAATGTATATCAATAGCAATGTAAATCAGGATTAAAATGTATCATAAAATGTATCATGAAAAGACAGATGTGAGAATTTCTTCACCTTTATAGGCTTGAGCTCAGATTCAGCAACGTCTATATCAATGTCGCCAAGAACCTGGAACTGCGCTGCCACTACATGCGGACGATGATGGTGCACGTGGTCATAGGAAAACAGAGGTCCAACGAACGTACAACATCTAATCTGGTCATGGAGGTGGTCTGGCAAAAAACTCTCGGGTGTAGGGATGCCATCTTATATCCTGTCCAATAGAAAATAAACATCATTTAGTTAGGTATATCCTATACAGAATAGAGCACAAAAGGAAACAAGTACATAGTCACACAGACAAGTGTAGACACCTATTTGTGTCTCCCCAAAACCAAACCTAGTGATGAGTACCTTTCACGTCGAGTCATAATCGAATGAAACGAAAGTGTGGAAAGGTCTAGTGTTGCGAAAAGTTTTATTTCTTTTCTTTTCTCTTCTCTCTGTTTTTGAAAACTTTATTTTAAGAAAACAGCCAATCCAGTTTGGTTGGTCCATGATATGGGTCCAATAGTGGTGTAGTTGGATGGGGCTTGCAAAGACCTTTCCAACGATATATTATAAGCCCAATTCCGATGAATATTGAGGAAGTTATGTCCAATTTACTAAACTGGGCCCGGTGCGAGCTTTAAGTACGACCCAATGATCTAGGGGAGGGCCTAATATGATTTATCATTCCTAATGCAATTAGGAATGGTTTTGGTTTTCTAGAACATTCTAGAAGGTTTTATCATTCTTAATTCAATTAGGACTCTTCAGAGTTTTAATTAGATCAAATAGCATTTTCGACTGAAATTATATTATTTTATCTTCCAGTACGGGAAATTTATCAGATTTTCGAAAACGTGTTGAAATCCGATTTGGCGTCCAACCCCAGGCCTTGGCGCCTGGAATCAGGATTGGAGCCAGACGCCACCATTGGCGCCTGGCGCTAGCCACTGGTCCTGGCGCCAAGGTGTTTTTGTGGTCTTCAGACTCTGTTTTGATAAATTATCTTTTTTGGATGATTTTCTCTATAAATATCGTATCAAAAACTCCGTTTTGGTTAACCAATTCACCAATTACCAACTATCTACATCTATCGTTCACCGATTCTCTTTATTCTTAAGTTTTCATCAACTCTCTTCATTCACAAATTATTCATCAATTAGCATTCATCTCTTTCAATAATCCTTTTCATTCATCTCTTCATTCATCAACTTTCATCAATATTCATCCTTTCTAAACTAAACTTTTTCTTTTATAAATAATTCCGCATTCACAAGATCTAGAAACACCTAGCCATATTCGAAGTTGCCTTCGCCCTAGACGTGAAAGGTTTTAATTTCTGAGGGTTTGGTCCCAAATCTCTATTTCAATTATTTAATTTAATTGTTTGGTTTATTATTTTCCTTGAAGTTACTAACGTGTGTATTTTGTTATTAGAAAGAGGTACGAGACATCCAAGTAAGCACTTTAATTGATTTTATTGATTTATGATGTAGAAATCATGTTTATATTGTTATTATGATATTCCTAGTATCATGTCTAAGGTAATTTTAATATTAAGTATGATTAAAAGTACGATGCTTCCTATGTTCTTCCTAATATTAATTCATGTTAGTATCATGTTAGGGCTAAAGATTTGATTTTTATTGTTTAGTGACATTCTAGGGTTTGTTATTAATCTTGTTAGTATCATGCCTAGGATCTTGCTATTTTTATTATGCTTTAATATTAACATGAACATGATTATGATTATAATTGTTATAATTTATTATTATTTTGAGGATGATTATTTTATTTATGATGATTATGATTATTATTATGATATGATTATTATTATTCTTCATAATTATTATTGATTATGTTGCTTGATGCTTATTTATTCTTTATTGCTTGATCACCTTTTATTGCATGTTAAAGGGAATTTGTATTTGCAATCACGCTTAATAAGATATTAATAATCTTGTTTAGGGTTAATTGTGATTATAATTTCAAGTGATCGCCAATGATAGTTTATTTGTGCATTAATATTCAACCAACATAGATTAAACAGGTTTAGGGTTAATCCTATTAATTGTATGTTAGTCAGAAAGCGCACATGAATACGAGCAGAATAAAGTAGAGGCCTATTATTAGGGCAGGTTCAATCTCTTTTAGGTTGGATTTGTACCTTCATCCCTGAACCCTTATTTGGTTCATGACCTTATGGAGTTGACGATCTCTTGAATCGTTAAGCGGTGTAACCTTCACCTCGTGATGGTTTACAAGTTCCTTAAAAACTTGTTGGCGACTCTTTTGCTCTATCTTCTTCCCTTTTGGACGCCACCGTACTTTAGTGTATGATCACAGTGGGGTTCAAGCTAGTGGGATTTTAAAGGCTTGAAACTATTCCCCACAATTTTTGGCGACTCCACTGTGATCATACACTAAAGTACTAACGCTAGTTTTGCAGGTATCAGCGTTATCAGATTGATTTAGGATCGTAGAACGTTTTGAATCATTCTCCGTCCCTATCAATACTTTGGCTTTCGTTTTCGAAACTTGCGTTTCTCCAAACTCAGTCAAAGTGGGGGCTTCTGTGGACACCCATTTGTGTCTCCCCAAAACCAAACCCAGTGATGAGTACCTTTCACGTCGAGTCATAATCGAATGAAACGAAAGTGTGGAAAGGTCTAGTGTTGCGGAAAGTTTTATTTCTTTTCTTTTCTCTTCTCTCTGTTTTTGAAAACTTTATTTTAAGAAAACAGCCAATACAGTTTGGTTGGTCCATGATATGGGTCCAATAGTGGTGTAGTTGGATGGGGCTTGCAAAGACCTTTCCAACGATATATTATAAGCCCAATTCCGATGAATATTGAGGAAGTTATGGCCAATTTACTAAACTGGGACCGGTTCGAGCTTTAAGTACGGCCCAATGATCTAGAGGAGGGCCTAATATGATTTATCATTCCTAATGCAATTAGGAATGGTTTTGGTTTTCTAGAACATTCTAGAAGGTTTTATCATTCTTAATTCAATTAGGACTCTTCAGAGTTTTAATTAGATCAAATAGCATTTTCGATTGAAATTATATTATTTTATCTTCCAGTACGGGAAATTTATCAGATTTTCGAAAACGCGTTGAAATCCAATTTGGCGTCCAACCCCAGGCCTTGGCGCCTGGAATCAGGATTGGCGCCAGACGCCAGCCATTGGCGCCTGGCGCTAGCCACTGGTCCTGACGCCAATGAGCCAAGGCTGGCGCCAAGGTGTTTTTTGTGGTCTTCAGACTTTGTTTTGATAAATTATCTTTTTGGATGGTTTTTTCTATAAATATCGTATCAAAAACTCCGGTTTCATTCATCAACAATCAGTTTATCAATATTCAATTACCAATAATCAACTTTCTTCATTCAAATTATTCATCAATTCAATTCTTTTCTACATCATTCATTCATCAATTTTCAATAACATTAATTCATGCATTCTTTCTACTTTGCTTTTTTAATACAAAATTCCGCATTCACAAGATCTAGAAACACCTAGCCATATTCGAAGTTGCCTTCGCCCTAGACGTGAAAGGTTTTAATTTCTGAGGGTTTGGTCCCAAATCTCTATTTTAATTATTTAATTTAATTGTTTTGATTATTGTTTTTCCTTGAAGTTACTAACGTTTGTATTTTGTTATTAGAAAGAGGTACGAGGCATCCAAGTAAGTACTTTAAAGATTAATTGATTTTATGATGTAGAAATCATATTTACATTGTTATTTTGACTCCTAGTATCATGTCTAGGGTAATTTTAATATTAAATATGATTCTTGTGATGCTTCCTATGTTCTTCCTAATATTAATTCATGTTAGTATCATGTTAGGGCTAAAGCTTTGATTTTTATTGTTTAGTGACATGCTAGGGTTTGTTATTAATCTTGTTAGTATCATGCCTAGGATCTTGCTATGCTTTAACAAGATTATGATTGATATTATTATTATAATTATTATAATTATTATTCATGATATTGATTATTTATTATGTTGCTTGATATGTATCATATTTTATATTCTTTATTGCTTGATCACACCTTTTATTGCATGCTTAAATGGAATTTGGTACTTGTAATCACGCTTAATAAGATAATTAATAATCTTGTTAGGTTAACTTTGATTATAATTCAAGTGATCGCCAATAATAGTTTATTTGTGCATTAAATTCAACCAACATAGATTAAACAGGTTTAGGGTTAATCTATTGATTGTATGTTAGTCAGAAAGCGCACATGAATACGAGCAGAATAAAGTAGAGGCCTATTATTAGGGCAGGTTCAATCTCTTTTAGGTTGGATTTGTACCATCATCCCCGAACCCTTATTTGGTTCATGACCTTATGGAGTTGACGATCTCTTGGATCGTTAAGGGGTGTAACCTTCACCTCGTGATGGTTTACAAGTTTCTTAAAAACTTGTTGGCGACTCTTTTGCTCTATCTTCTTCCCTTTTGGACGCCAACGTACTTTAGTGTATGATCACAGTGGGGTTCAAGCTAGTGGGATTTAAAGGCTTGAAATTATTTCCTACAGTTTTTGGCGACTCTTCTGGGGAGGATTTCTATTTTAATTCCTGAATTTGTTTCGGCAATGATTTAGAATGAGTGGATGAGACTCGAAAAGTTCTAAGTATTTCATGTGCGTAATTTTGATTAACATTATTGTCATATGCATAAAAAGGTTCTCATTGGAACGACTATCTGTAATGAGTAAAAAACATAGGATTTTACACGTAGGAAATTTGAGAAATGTCTTTCACAACTAGGACTGAAATAACACCGCGCGAAACTGGATGATTTTATTGAGCGCAGAAAGCTGCTGAGGCATGTGGGAAGTAGCGTCAGGGTCCAGAGCTTAGCGCCACACTTTTTGCCGTAGCGCCAGATGCCAGTATTGGCGCCAGGCGCTACAGTTAAAAGTTGGCGCCAGTCTCTGTTTGCTGGCGCCAATTTCCCCCAATACCGAGCCAGAAATATGCGTTCTAATTTCGACCGGTTTTTCGTATTGTTTGCTCGATCCTACTTCCTGATTGAATTTTTTCTCACTTTTCTGAAACCCATATGTGTTCAACATATGGACA